GTGTATATATATATATATATATATATATATATGTATATATATATGTGTGTGTGTGTGTATATTGAATAAATTAATATATATTAATTTATATATATATATATATATATATATATATATATATATATATATGTATAATTATCAATCTTGTTAGGTCTCCTTTAAATATTTTGAAGATATCTTTTAGAAATTTGTGCCTTCTGGAATCAAACCGTCTTACCTTCGTACAACCAGTCCGGCACGCCGTTTGACAATATTCCAGGCACGGCGGTGTTGGTTACGCGATAACCGATGTTGCTCATAGGGCTCGTCCTGTAGTAAATATCGTAGTCCTGTACCATAACGATCCCATTGCCACGTGGAGTCCATTGCGCCAGTAAAAGATACGGATGAACGTCCTTTTCAGGATAAGGAGTTAACGCTATGCATTCCCTGTAAAGAAATATTGATTATAGAGATTTAATTTAATTAGCTTTGATGTAATTAACGATATTTCTTTCAGAAAAAGAAATTATTGATATTAACATATTTATTATCACTATTTATTTGGGAAAGTTTTTGTCACAAAAGTTTATAAATAGATAAGTTCCATTTTGGCGATCGCGTCGAAGCGGAACATCATTCCATTTCTGTTTAACATCCAGTGAGAAACAAAGATAAAATGAATTTGTGCCTACATAAAGCATAATGCACAAAGCAATCAAATATTTTTTTTTTTATATAATAATATAAGACAAATTTAATTTTTATTTGTATGCGTATAGAATAAAAAATTATCATCATCATACTTTCACACTGTTATCATGAGTAATCTCTTATCAGAATCAGTTTGTGCATCATATATATGACACTCGTTACTTAAAAACATGATAACTCTTTGAATCCCGTCGTATCCTTAAAAAAAAAGAACATACATATATAATATTTCTAAAGATAAAAATCTCTTTTGATTGATCTTTCTCCCATTATATAATTTATATTAATAGTACATTAATAGCACACTTTTAGAATTATCTAGTGATAGTTTATATACAGTACCCTTCATAAGTTTGGAAACTCAGATAAAAATAAGGATATTAAAATGGATATTTTATTATAATTCTGTTCGCGCTTACCTTTACAAGATCGACATTTATGTCATTTGATAGAACGAAGTTTCAAGTTCAAGAATCCACTTTCTGTATTGCTATGCATTGAAGTTTAATGATGTCACGAGGAACCAAAATCCAATTGGAACAAAGCAACCCAGATAGCACGATGAATTCTCTAAGTATTCCTAAAGTTTTCTCCTTTCCTGTATTTTCTTAGGAATTCATGGAAGAATACTATAAGAATGATTTAAAGAGGAAGTTACATGCACCATGATTGGAGTTCCTCAGAACTTTTTAGAATATTTATATAGAATTACTTCAACTCAAAAAGATTTCTTCGGATTTAATAAATTTTATTGCATCCACACAAAAGAAAAGTCAGGAACTTTGGCCGGGTGTGCTTGTGTGTATCTGTTGTTGTGTGGATGCTTTTAATGCCATATGAGATGAAAAACATCCAACTCAGCTGGGATCGAACTCGGGTCGTCTTCCCCAGACAACCGCTTTTTCCACTGAGCTATTTAAGACTTTATGTTTGTGACATTTATATACTTAGTGAAAAATGATTCGTTGATTGACATCAAAATGATATCAAATTGACGTCGGTTTGACGATTTCAACGTCTATTTCAACATCTATTTGATGTCATTTTGACGTCAATCAACGAATTATTTTTCGCTGGGTATGTACTGTTCTATGTAAGTAAATCGCACTTTCAAATATGTAATTCAAAATCTAAGAATAAGTGGCTTTTAAATAATGCGATTGAATTTGTTAGAACTGTATATGAATTTTAGAAACATGAATACAAACTTAAGGATAAAATATACTTCGCATAAATCTATTTATTATTGATACAAGTGAACATTTTATATATGAAAAGCTATTTTAACACCAATTCCCTTTCTTTGCCCTATTATATAAAACTATATAATTAATTCCACAAAATATAAATAACTATGAATAACAATAAATTAAACAATTTATATGTAAATATGTAAATCAATTATTATACACTCACTGTACTGAATATAGGCGCAAAAAATAGTTGCTATAAACAAAACATTTAGGGCTAAGGCAGAGAACGAGACGTAAGCGTCGTAGTCATAGATGTAAAATAAGGCAGAAAAAAACGTAAACATAAGTCATGAAAGGCTATTAGCTTTACGTTTACGTTTTCCTCTGCCTTACTTTACGTCTACGATTACGTCGCTTACGTCTCGTTCTCTGCTTTTAGTCCTAATTCCTCACGAATTCTCAAAGTGTTCTAGGAATTAAGTCGCAAAGTAATCGCTATAATAAAGTCCTAAGGAATATTTCAAGACGAACTTATTGTGGTTAATTCTTCAAGAATTCTTCGGGTATTGATTTTTCTAGTTCTATATCTATTCTTTAAAATGAATTCTGTAGGAACTTCTGTTCATCTCTGTGTTATCTGGGAAGTCAAGACTGAAGCTCGTTGATTCGTCAAAATGTAATTTTCAATCGTCAATCGCCAATCACTAGTGTAATTTGACCTTTATGAAAACGAAATAAACAAAATGAAAAATTTTCTTTTCAATTTAACACATGCCACAAATACAAAAAAAAATCTGAGAAAATTTTAATTTCTTCTGTGTAAAAGATTGAAGTTTTTTATACAATTTACTTTCTGAAAAAATTTCTTTACAATTTTGTGTTTCCGTATATTTCGTTATTAAGGGTTAAAGTAAAATTGAGCATTTTGATTTCGGTTGCTTATGACACCATTAAACTTCATTACACAGCAATACAGAAAGTGGATTCTTAAACTTTAAACTTCGCTTTATCAAATGACATAAATGCCGATCTTATAAAAGTAAACGCGAAACAGAATTATATAATAAAATATCCATTTTAATATCCTTATTTTTATCTGTGTTTCCAAACCTATGGAGGGTACTGTATTTTGAAAAAATATTTTTATTTTTTCATCAATTTCAATATTTTTACGATATTTTTTTTAATTTTTTCCTATTCTTCAAATTAAATTTTTTAAACAATATTTTTACACTTATTTGACATTCCTTTGTTAAAATAAATTATTTCAAACGACACATATTTCCACAGGACATCATAAAAACGCTTTGAGAATGTCTCTATGTTCTATGAACATCCCAGGATATCTCCTGAAAATCTTGTACTGTCTGGAATATCACTAAAATAAAAAATCGGGACTCAAAGAGTTAAAAGAAATTATTGAGGTCGCTGATAATCGATATATTTCATTCGAATTACACTAACCGTGTATTGACGTCGTAAATGACGTACTGCGCTAAATATGAGTAGCGAAACAACTTCTTTACGTTTTGAGCAAGGAGCAAGTACTTCTTATCTGGCGACAGGGAGAACTTTGCAGGATTCAATCGTCTCTGTGGGAAAAGAAGAAAAGAGAGTCGATGCGTTTATTTATTTCCTGATACGCATAACACACCGTAAACAGACAATCGATCGCGGATACTCACGAAGGTTTCGTTCGGCATTAAACTGCGGGACACGATGTTCGTATCCGAGGCGTCCAACAAGGAAATACCACCCCAAGGGTCACGGTAGCATATGTGATAGTTACGCGCCCAGGATCCGTTGAATAATAAAGGAGATAGCTCGCCGGATAGTACCTGAGAAGCACGAATACATCCCCGAATCAATCTTGCGATTATTCCATGAATTTCGGATGGTCTCATTGGAGAGATAACTGCTTTGTTATCGAACTATTCTCGAAATTTAGAACTAACCAAGGTCAACAGATACGCCGTTCCAGTAAACAAAGAACATTAATTCAACATTCTAAAATATTAATTTTGCATATCTTTTGAATCGTTTTCATTCACTTCTCAAATAACACTAAATGTCTTAAAATCATCCCAGAAATATTCAGGACATCTTGGGAAATGTCCCAAAACATTTTAAATTCCTTACAAATGTATTATTGATTGGTTAGTAATAAATTACTATTGTACAGTAGTTTTACTACTAGCAAATGATTTTGAGTATTTAAATTACAAGGTTATCAATGTTACAGAGTGATTCAGTGATTACAGCGACAGAGATAATTACTAATGTGTTATTAGATTTTTCTAATAAAGTATTGAATAAATTATTCTCTAATAACGAGATAAATAAGTATCGACTTTCTTATAATTAATATGAATTGTTTCATATCTTATATTTTTCAAATTACTTTATTGTCTGCCTTAGTTCGTCATAATGTTTAATTGAAAATTTAAGAGCAATTATATCGTTAATGGAGTTCGCTGATATACATTATAACAATATCAGTTACATTTCGATTAACGTTGCGTCGTATTGTTTCTCAACAAATATGCGATTTTAAGTGTTTGAACGATACAAGAGCATATTATAATCATAATTCAATAAAGTATTTCAAGTAATTCGTCATAGCTCATTGACTTCATAAGTTTTAGTTTGATTATTCAGATTAAGCAGCGGATAACGCGATATGAGAAAGGATGACGATCCTAACGCGATATGAGAAAGGATGACGACAAGATCGAAACTACGTAGCGACACAAAATATGAAATACTAAATGTTTTATTATTTAAACAAAACAATCAAGCATTAGATTGTTTCATTCTGATAGGTCAATTTGTAAAAAAATAAACAGAAAATGTACTATATATAATAATTCCCTAAATAATCACTGAATCATTGAAAAGTGATTAATCACTACTGTTTCTTTAGTTAATTACTAGTAATTACTTTTCTGAAAAGGATGTATTCGATATGATTTCAAGTCATGTTATGACTTGTGCTAGCTGAGCTAATATATTTTATAAATTTCATAGTATTATCGGATAATGCCATCCCTAATATTGTAGAAATGTTTTAGAAATATTGAAACACAACACACACACACATTGAAGTTATTCATAATAATGTCGATACGAACGTTAAAAACTATATATTATTAAATAAATAATTAAACTACCAAATGTTGTTACTGAATATTGTTACAACAATGTTTCATCAAAGAATAGTTACTTATTGAAATAATCTGTATATAATACATAATTTGTGATTAGTATATTCTCTAGAGAGAGATTTCTTTGAAATGAAGAGTGAAATATTACCCTTTAAAACGGAATAAGAATGAATATTTTATTCGAATAGATTTGACATCGTACATATGAATGTTTCAATTGACTAAAATGAATTTGTTCCTGTGACGGATAGAATACGTTAAATTCCCAATAAACAAAAAACATTAGATAGCTTTAAATGTTGTTTTTATATATCTCTCTTTTGTGAACATTTTTGCTTAATATCTTTAAAAAACATTTAAAAAATATTATCATGTGATCCTTTTCAATATTGTAAAATAGTTTTAGAAATAGTGAAGTGTCGGATTCATTTATAATAATGTTGAACGTTAACAGCTATATATTAAAAATGTTATACGCTATTAAATATATTTGTGTATTTATCAGTGATTTTTTGCGCACTGGGTCCTCCCTTCAATTTCAACTGAAAATACTTGATTCAAAATGGAAAATTTATTTTGTACGAATGAAATATTACTCGAGTACTCGAATGACTCGATTGTTACTTCACCTTTAAGATAAAACTTTATTTAAGGAAATTTAGGAAATAAGTAATTTGAGCAGAAAGAGGTGCTGCTTCGTATTTATTTTTGTTTTTATTAAATCAATGTTTGTAATTAATCTAAGACTTTTTTTTATTACCAAAGATACATTTTTTGCATCGTTCTTCCGGCGACGAATAAAACCGTGAGAGAAACTGCAGTTTGGACCGCTACTTACCTCGGAGAGGCGTAATCGCGCTCCTCGCACCCTCGGGCCGTCATCGGGAGGTGTAAGCAGAGCAACGGATGTAACGATAAGAGCTAGGACGGCGACGATCACGAGCAACGCTATTAGAATCCCGCGCCAGTTCCTTTGATTCGGGTTGGCTGAAACTAGCTCCTGTCACAAAGGTCCTTACTAACGCTAATGTCAGGTAACCGGGTCATCGTGCCGCGCGCGAATGCCGCGTATCGTTCCGGCTCCGTGTGGTGGTGCAGCGTGAGGCACACGCTCGTTAAAAATAAGAGCGCGGAGTTCCGCGCGCGCGTCCGACTACGTCAGAATATTAATAAAATCTTAATCTAAGGTGAGATATTTCCACCACGTCCATACCGGGCAGAATTTCCGACGCAATTCGACCTCGCAACCGGACTATCTCGTACTCAGGTAGAACAGATAATCAAAATAATATCAATCTGACGTCATCTTGACCACACGGAAAAAATTAATTTGCTGCAGCAGCAAACTAATTTGCTACATATGGACAGTTAAATATAATTCATTGTATTAGCTACTTTTTCTTTGCAGGAACCTATTTTCTTGCTATGATAACAAGAAAGTCTGCTTCTACAACAACAAAAAATGGCTGACGTAGTGAATTTGCTACAGATGAACAACTAAACATAATTTACTGCTTTAGCTACTTTTTTGTTACAGGAGCAAATTTTCTTGTTATCATAGCAAGCAAATTAGTTCCTGCAACAAAGAAAAAGTGACTAATATAGCAAATTATGTTAGTTGTCCATATGTAGCAGATCTTTTTTTTCCGTGCAGATATTGACCAAATTTACGTCATTTTTATATCAAAATGACGTCAGTGACTCAAAATAAGTCAATATAATTTTGACTATTTGTTTTACTTAGGTTGTTCGTTATTTTGACCAAAAATGACAAGAAAATGATCGAATCATGATAAAAAAGTGAGTTTATAATCTCAGACAGAATAAAAAATCACGACAACATCAAAATGATGTCAAAATGACGAGAAGATAATTGAAAACTCACTTTTTAACCACGATTTGATCACTTTCTCGTCATTTCGACGTCAACACAATTTTTTCTTCTGCTCGGGTAAATACTCTCGTATTTGTCGCTCTTGACATCCCTACGCGGTGAGTATTTCCCACATTTTAACTAATTAAGACCACCTTGGTCCACAAGAACAAGCGAGAATCCATTAGAGCGTAAACAACGTTTAGCGAATTATGTATCCCCGCGCGCGCTTTTACGACGTCACCGACGCGCTCTCATTAGACACGTGAAATAGCAGCGGGTAAGAATGTCAGCCGTGATGAATGTTAGATCATCGACGGAACGATCCATCGTGAGAAATGAGAAGAACGGAAGTCGCTTCGTGCACGCTTCGAATCGTCTGTTCGTTTATAAATGCGTGCGTCTGTCCGACCATTCTTCCGTCGCATTTTCCTCATCGTTGACAATGAAGACACAAGAGACACACCCCCTAGTAGCACAGTTCATTAGTGTTACATTGGCCCAATATTGGTTATAAATAAAATGTAAATAAATTGTCAATATTGCACAACATGATTATACTAATATTGGTATACATTGGGAGTACATTGGCTCAATATAACTCTCATTGGATCAATACTCAGATAGCGCAGAGAATTCAAAAAGAATCCAAAAAGAATTAGTCGTATGTCATCAATTCTAAGTTCATTTTCAGATGCAAAAAGAATTCTTCGGAGTCGAAATTTTGACCCTATATTGAACCTTGAATTCTACACCGCAGTAGGAGCTAAGATAGCAAAGTAGGTTTAATTCTAATGATATAATTTACTCCTACTTTGATCCTGATGATGTTTGAAATTTTCGCTTTCGCTTTCTTTAGCGTCAAAGTAGATTGTATAATAGTAGGATCTTAGGAAATAAAGTAGGTTCAATTGCGAACCTCTAGAAGCTTTAGCTCCTACACAAAATATATGTATTTTATAGAATTTAAGATTCAACATAGAGTCAAAATTTCGACTCGGAAATGAGTGTCAATATAGGTCAAAATAGGTTTCATCTAGGTTGTAGATTATCTAAGTAGACTCAAACTATTTTTAAGAGCGTCAAAGTAGCGTCAAACTTTTGACAAAGTAGAGTTAAAGGTTCAAAAGAGAAGTTAATGAGTATCAATATCGTCAAGGTAGGTTTTACCTAGGCTATAAACCGTCTAAGTAGACATAAACTATCCTTAAGCGTCAAAGTAGCATTAAAATTTCGACTCGGATTCAGTTCAGTGAAAAGAATTCATTTTGCATCTAAAAATGAATTCAGAATTGGTGGCATACAACTGAATTCTTTTTTAATTCTCTGTGTTATCTAAATATGTAGTCAATATTGGTGACAAATAAATTGCCAATATTCGGAATTCTGTATTGGCTATAAAATGCAAGACGTGTATTTTACAATATTGGACCAATATTGAGTATATCCTAATTTGCAGTCGACATTGCCCCGATGAATTGCGCTATTAGGGACATGGCAAGCGAAAAATGACCGATGATCGGCCATATCACGACGAAAAAAGGAAGACAAGTTGCCGATTATAGGAGTGTCGTGACTCGAATAGCTGATGGTCGGCTGCCGTGGCTGAAATCGATAGAGACAGAAGCCGCTGCGCTGTGCGTCAGGCAGCTGCTCTCTCCAGGGGAAAGAAACGTTTCAGCGTTTCATCGCTGCGCTCTTGGAAACAAGAGCTCGAGTACGCATCCGACCCGGGGAGTTCTGATAATTTTGCACGCTCAGCCTCTCAGGTCAGGACCTGAGATGTCTAATCTCGCCGTGTTCGACATAAAACGGCATGTCCGCGCGCGCGCGCGCGCGCATATAACATACTTAAGTGATAGTTTCGCATTTTGCGCGGGGCAATATCGTAGGAAGATGTCGCGATGACACGTTTATCCGTATCGCACTCGCGATACGTCGATATTTTTTGTGCTTGTTCGTCGGAGAATGATTTACGTGGGAAGCTTGGAGCGCTTGAGAAAAAAGTCACGCGACTCGCGAATTTAGGGATGTTGCCGGCGAATTTTGTCCGGTTATCGCGTGAAACGTAAAGCTCATACGATGAATGTGGATTGTATTATTGTTAACAGTAATAATGACAAATACGGGATGTTCCTCATTTCGAGCGCAAATAATTGTTAACAGCGATAATCGCGACATGAACGCGTCAACCCCGGACAGCAGGAAATGTCTAAAATGTACGTCTGAAATGTACGTTTCTATCAACGTCGATTAAAAATCTGAGTTTAAGACTTAGTCTGAAGAGAGTTAAAGTTTAAACAAACGCAAATTATGGTTTAATCGATGTTGATAGAAATAGGCATTGAAGACATGCAAAAGACGTTTGAAACAAGGATGTTTTTAAAATCGTCCTTCAATATTTATGCTGATTAGGACAAATCTGTCATGCGTTTCAAATGGATTATTTATGGAACTTGACTTTCTTATTCAATTCTCGTTATCGTGTATTGACAATACTTGTTGCTGCGCAAACGCATTTATGACCCTCGACGAACGTTCGAAAATTAATTAGCGATATTCACAGAAGAAATATAAATAAAAAACACGATCATTCTTTAATGCAGCGCACCACTTACGCCACTGTCCGCGTTATTTCCTCAGAGGAAATTTTCTCCTTCAAAGTTACATTTAAAAATAGCGATTTAAAAATAGAGAGGGAAAGCAAGAAAACGAGAAAGAAAACAGACAGATTGTTCTCTTCGGGATTAATAACGCAATTCGAGAAAGAAGCGGAACGCATAACAGCGGCTCGGGAAACTTATTTAATTACCTCGTCGTCGTAAATGTTGTCGTGATCTGCCATCGGTAGTGCGAATCGGACGTTCCGCGACTTTCCCTCAACCTGAGCAGATGCGAAACGACGCGACCCCCTGCGTTTATCCCATTCGACGTTACTGGAAATCTCTGCTCTGCGATTCACCCACTCGTCCGCTACTTCAGACTCGCAATGAGAGATATTTGCTTGCTCAGTATCACTTGCGCCGTATAAATTTTCGGTACTGAACGAGAGATCATCCCTTGCGAGAGATGCTGCAGACGCAGAGTCTGCGCTGTTCACGGTGGAGGCTGCGCTATACATAGCGAGAAAGAGAGAAGGAGAAGGAAAAGGGGTAGGAAAAAGAGACAGAGCGATATGAAGAGATAGAGATGTGTGTGTGTGTGTGGTGTTACGTGCATCCTATATATGCGTGAGTATATGTGTGTGTAAGTGTGGGGTGTGTGAGAGAGAGAGAGAAAGAAAGTGCGTGCACTAGGAAAATTAAGAAAGCATTTTTAGATATTGCTAAATGAGAATCTACTGTAGTTCTAATTATTAACTGTAGTTAATAATTAGATACCTGCTATTACAATAAAAACCATTGAATATATGCAAATAAAATAAACTGTGTTTTTACAAATGGTTGTTAATTTGCACTATTTGAAGATAAATAATTCCCTACCTTGCAGGTTTAGTCGCATTTTATAATAGATATTTTAAGCCTTAAACCTTAAGAAATTGACCAATTACACTCAAATGTGAAGAGAATAATCGACGCTGATTGATCAATTTCTTAAGGCTTAGGGCTTAAGGCCTGGTTGCACCAACATTATTTTAGCTTTAAACGAAACTTAAACATATATCTATCTTTATCTTTACTTTCTAAATAAATAAAGACAGACATACATTTAAGTCTCGCTTAAAACCAAAATAACGTTGGTGCAACCGGGCCTAACCCTGTCTGCACAGACGTGGCAAGAACGTTACAAGCACGTCGTTACGACGTTACTACGTCGTAGTGACGTGCTAACTACGTTCGGAAGTAAGGACGTGCTAACTACGTTCGGCTGTCAGGGAAGTTACTCATCGTAGAATGGGACTTATTCTCAAAAAATATCTCAGATGATATTTCTATGAGAAGCTATAGTTCAAATTACTATATTTACTTATCGAAATATTGTACGCGTTATTTTTCAAGAATACGACTTCTGCTATTCAGTGTCACTAATATTGAAAATAAAAACATTAATCGACTCGCTACTCAGATATGATATTTGGAAAGAAAAGATTGGATAACCTATTGTTGAATATGTTACTTGAAAATAAAAAGTACTTCTGAGGGTCGATTGTGTATCACAGAAATTTGATGAAAATTATAAAAATGAGCGAATTTACTAGAATATTTATAATTTTATTGGTCCATGTCTAGCGAATTTCTTCGCTCTTGTAATTTCCACCACGTTATGTTAATACACAATCGATCTGAGCGCTTAGTGAAATCTCACATCCGATTGGTATATTCCTTTAGATCTAAAAATATACACCAATTAGATATAAGAACTCACTGAGCACTCAGTGAGCAAGTGCAGTACTAGATGCATCCATCCGGTGTACTAAGAAACACGACCACTCACTGAGCGTTCAGTAAGCGGTTGTAGTACTGAATGCACCAATTATTTTCAGCGTACTCACATGTCTATACTACAGCGATGTTCTGAAATTCACTGGCAATACTGACGATACATTGCGAGTGCCGTTCCGAAATGCACGACAGTAAACTTTCGAAACTCTTTTGTGCCCATATGACGTTATAGATTTTGTCGTTACTTCCTACTTCCGTTACTGTGACTCGTGAGACATCCGCAGTAGAAACATGGCGACGCCTATGGAAGAGTTGTGCTTTATAGACGCAAAAAAATAATAAAGCATAAAATAACTTCACAATAACGCGTACAATACTGGTAATAACAATAGTCTTATTCTGCTAATTCTATATTATTATTAATAATATCGAAATTTTTTTTATTTTGTATGGTGTTTTACCACCGAATCTTCAGCTTTTCCTGAGAATATTTGCGGTTATTTGATATACTCTATGATGATACGTCTTTGATATATCCTTTTTTTCATTTTTCCTATGAACATTTTAATCATACATATCACTTCTTCTCGTATCAATATCGAAATTCGATAAAACTTTGATTATGTACCACGTGATATCGTTAGCTGTTGCATTCATAGCTTTGTTCCGTTTTCTCTATTCATAATCGATAATACACTTATGAAAACGGAACGCTTGTGTCAGCGTAATGCGATGATGTCACATTTACTGGCAGTGAATATCGGAACGCAGCTTATGGCGTAATTCTATGGCAATTTTGACGTCACTTCCTACTTTCGTTACTGCGACTCGCGGAGTGAACTTTTGACACTTTTGCACTTAACACCCTGAATTTCTCTTTAAAAAAAAAAAGCTCTCATTGGGTTTCGCTTATTACGTCTGGTGTTCTTATTATAGCGTCCTATTACTCATACGAAGGGAATTTTTCTTCAAAATGTACTTATCTACGGTTTTTTCTAAAGACAACTGTATTATTAAAGAATTAACAGATTTTACAGTCAAGTGGTGTCAAGGAATTGTCTTTGGATCAAATAATATTATCTCCAAATTTATTAAAAACGAAATTTATTTATCAAAAATTATTTATTTACCCATATAGAAATATCATACTAAGAATCATTAATAATTACTTATTTTCAGTATTAAAAATACTGGATAATAAGTAATTATCAATGATTCTTAGTATGATATTTCTATAAGGGTACTAAAAACGAAATACCCAATATATACCACTTCGAACTACATGAGTCACTGGAGGTTCTATATGGGGCTAGATTTTACAGACTGAACATCGATTTAGATAGTACCCAGATAGTACAGAGAATTTAAAAAGAATTCAGTTGTATGTCATCAATTCTGAGTTCATTTTCAGATGCAAAAAAATTCTTCAAAGTTCAGTTCAGTGAAAAGAATCCTTTTTGCATCTAAAAATGAACTCAGAATTGATAACATACGACTAAATTCTTTTTAAATTCTCTGTGACATCTATCTGGGACAGATTCTATCATACAACTCCCCGTTCAGATTCCACACCCGGATATATTCTATTACTAGAAGTGCTATAATATATGTAACGTATACTATAGTGTTTCTAGTAATAGAGTGCACCCGGATGAAGAATCTGAACGCACCCCAACATCCTCATGGAAACGTCCATGGAATTGAAGTGGAAGTAACGTGGAATCGACTTCTTTACGTGGATTCTACGTAGATGTTCCCATGGGGATTGCCCTAATAGCGTTAGGATGTAGTCCCATGGCAGAGTTTTCGCGTAACGCATAACCGCGTAACCAAGAAGCGTTAGGGCTATCGCACACAAATTGACATAACTGCATATGCATAGCATAAGACCGTATGTACCAATGAGCATCGAGTATTAAGTCGCCATATTGGTGTTCGATGCTTAATATTCGATGCTCATTGGTCCATACGATCTTATGCTATGCATATACAGTTATGTCAATTTGTGTGCGATAGCCCTTAGGTGTTTTCTGTTGCGCATATCATAAAAATTGCGTATAGTTTTAGCATATTACGCGTTTTTGTTGAAGCGTATTTGTGTGTGTGCTCACAATGAAGGGATTATCTGTAAACACACATAATGATTTTATAATTTTATAATAATTTTATATAATAATTTATTTCACACATAAATAATTTATCCTTTTGTAAGAGTTAGGTTAGGATAGGTCAGGTTGCTTTATTTTATGATTATACACTTATATCTTGGTTTTAAAGTGTGTGTGTGTGTGTATATGTATATATATACACATATATATATATATACACATACACACATTATTATCTATTATCTATCCCCTTATAGAAATATCATACTAAGAATCATTGATAATTACTTATTATCCAGTATTTTTAATACTGAAAATAAGTAATTATCAATGATTCTTAATATGATATTTCTATAAGGGTCAAATATAATAATATCAATATAATAATATCAATATATAATTTATCAAATAATATAATAAATTATATATTATCTATCAAATATAATAACGGAATAATGATATATCATTAACAACCACAGATGTCTATATTAGATTGCTAACACACCATTATTACAAACAGCATGGTTTACACCCAATAGTGTCTGGCCAGAAAATGGCCGCTGCCGCCACATATTTAACGTAGTTATTGCGTGTAATATTCAATAAAGTTTTGTAATAATTATTATTTTAATCTAACAAATTGTGTAAATTACAAAAATAATGTTTATTTTAATTGTTGGTTAATTAAAACCCCATTTAACTGTGATAAATAATATTTAATTTAAAAACATATATTCCCAGATAGCACAGAGAATTTAAAAAAAAAGTATCAGTCGTATGTCACCAATTCTGAGTTCATTTTTAGGTGCAAAAAGAATTCTTTTCACCGAACTGAACTCTAAAGAATTCTTTTTGCATCTGAAAATGAACTCAGAATTGGAAACATACGACTGAATTCTTTTTGAATTCTCTGTGTTACATTGGGAATACTGTGTGATGCATATACTAATCTTCCATTATTTTTTAAATCGACTGATATTGCATATGTTGCTAATTAATTCTTTTTACCAAAAACTTTCTAAATAATATTATCTATACAAGCACTGCATTTAACTATTTTGATTAGTTTTTTTTACGATATTACCATTAGAAATGTAATATAAAATATTGTCAGTAATAAAAGTATCGTTAAATAAGTCAGAGTCAGAATCATGATCGATTGTATAATTGTTTGAAGTTTCCCATTGTATGTTATTATGCCATTTTGCAAAAATTTTTTTCGACTATCTTAACTGAAATCCTATTTTATTGTCTAGTTTAAAACACAATTAGAATTTGCTGATACTGAAATTGAATTTTTTATCACAGATGTAAATTGCATTACACTTGGATTATTATTCCACGAATTTCTGCGTCGTACTTGGACAAAAAACAATTCTAAGTGGTCTTGGCTAAATCTGTAAGTCATTAAGTATTTCAATGATAACTCAAGTAAAATATTTTTAGCAATTTACAAAATGGATTTCATAGCAGCTGCAAAATCTATAATGAATGTTTTCCTTTTTATATACATAAAAGAATGTCAGGATTATGAATTTTTAAAGAGTACAAATAATTAATTTTTTCTTCCATTTTCTCTTGCAAGTAATGAATGTTATTAATATATATAGGTTTTTTAAACCCTTTCACAAATGGATCACGGGAATTTAAAAAAACAAAAATTTCATCGATAGCTGTGATGAATTCCACAGTAGAATTACACTCGTTAAATCAATCAACTTCAGAAAATTTTAAAAATTTAAGAGCAGCAGCAGTAGAACAACTTAAAGTCTGTGCTGCTAATTTTATCTTCATTATATTTTGCTTATAATTAATGTGTACATTAGTACGTTTATTTACTAATTTTAAGGTTATATTATTTTGAAAAAGATAAAAATTTACGATGTGTTGCCAGTCAATTAATCCGGAAGGTGATCTTAAAATTTGTTTTCCTAACGTATTTTGTGCAAGCTTTAAGTTGTGACACGCATCAGATACAAAATATACGTGATCAGAGCTTAAATGTTTGTACGAGTATTTCAATTTTGAATCGATAACGCATAATTAATAACCTCATAAAATCATTGTTGCATAATTTACGTATACTCCGTCACAGGTGACACTCCATAACTTAATGCCTGATTGCTGAGATAGAATTAGAAATATTGGCATTAAATCGGAATGCATTGATGCCGATATCGATAAAAAAAAATATCCAACGGGCCATTTCCACTTTCTGCTCAACGAAACTAACATAAACACTAAAACTTTGAATATATTTCTGAATCTTCAATTGTAATGTCATTGCCATATTCGCACATTCCGATGAATTTTTCTTTCGATTTATCCCATATAAGTTGTTTTTGTATTGCCATCGAATCGAATATCAGATTACTATTTCGTGATTAAGGTGGAAATTTGGAAATCTCCTCAAAAACATTGTTTAAGAATCCTGGCTCCACATTTATTAAAGACAACCAATTTCTCATGCTGCTGGCATGTGGTAAATGGAGAATTGATCTAAAAATAATCAGTTTCATGTTTCACTGTTGACAGATAGAATCCGCAGTAACTACCAGCAATTTTATATATTTCACTTTAATGTTTTTATAATGATTAATTTTCATTATCTCAGATTTGTGAAAGTATACATGTATAACTTAAAATTTTTTTGTTATATAAATCCAAACTATGAAGATAATATATTGTAAATTTATAATAGTTATGTGTTGAATAAAATGTTTCAATAGTTCTGTTGTAAAACTAGAACAGAAATCGCTAACAATGTAACATGAGAAATAAATTTGTTAAAGTTACCTGCAGTAGTTGTAGGCTTTTGGTGAATAGAAATGTAGCATTAAAGCAAATTTCTTTATTTCGTCCATATATCTGCATCCTTTTGTTGATTTATTTCGGTTCTGCCATTCGTTTTTGAATAAATCTCCTACCATTCCATTGAAGTTTTTAAGAATCAATTTGTATCCATCATGTTCAAGAAAATTCTTTTATCTAATATTTATATACAACTCAACACTCTTTTGCATTTATTATTTTATTTATTTCATTATTTTATTTATTTATGTGCTATATATATATATATATATATATATATATATATATATATATATATATCACATAAATAAATAAAATAATAAATATATATATATACATACACACAATTGGTCATGTACTAATTTAGTACTTTTTCATTTCAGCAAACGATTATATAGGTATTTAAAATATATATGCCAATTCTGGTAAAAATTCTAGATAAAATCATCATCTGTATTAAATATTGCATAAAACCTATGCGGAATATTTAGGCCTGTTCTTTGTAGCTGCACTGCTGAACTAGTGCAATAAGTTAGAGTGAAAAAAAGTATATTTGTCTCACTTCAATATATTACACCAATTCAGCAGTGCAGCTACAAAGAACAGGCCTATTATGCATCATGTTCAATATATTTAAAAAGATTGTTATCTGAAACTTTTACAAGGAAATATCATTGTATATACCCATTGTATGAATCCCAGTATACGATTACACTTTGAATGTACTCGAGTGTATTCATAAGCTGGAATGTAGTATTTATATTCAAATTACCTTAATTGTTTTACTAAATCTTGAAGTGCAAGAAGTTTTTCATCCTTTCTTCTTAATTTTTCCTTCAATGTTTTAATTTCTCTCTGCATTTGTTTCTTTCTTGGTGAGATTTCTTGACTTTTAAAATGCAATGTAGAACTATGCATTATTCTTTTTTTTTTTTTCTTAGAATCCTGCACTATACCGGAGACATTCATACTGGTGTTTTCACTAGTTGACAGATTAGAAATCAAAGTAGCACAATATTGATGATCTGTTGGTACTATTGCAGATGTTGATGGAAGATCAACAACTGAATTTTTTAATACTACAAATGTGGTTGGAGGATTGGCAATTGAATCTTCTGGTACAATTGATATTTGTGGAGATTCATTTCTTGACATGCTGTGAAATATTGATGGAACAGCACTATAATTTAAGAGCAAACCATTTTCACCACGTTTACTCATAAAATCCTTTTGTTGAAAATGAGCAGAGCAAATTACGTCCAATTTTCTCGGTTTAAAATTCAGGTCTCCAATATTTTGAAGCCATTTTTTCAAATGGTCTTCTCTTTTAAGTGGAAATCTAAAAATGTATAATTTTCATTTTTACTATAATTGCATACTATTTATACAATTGCATTAATCGTTATTTCTTATTCGTGAAATATATATATTTATTATTAATATAAAACTTACTTAAATAGACTAATACCATCTTTTTTTTTGTTGCGGCAGTTTTTTATGCAACAAGATGCTGGCATTTTTAGTTTTATACACGATAGTGGTAAGCGGACAAAATCCATAAAAAAAGAGAGGACAGTGTTGGCAACGTTCAAAAGTTCCTAGGATCTATGGCCGGTATTCATAGTCGGGTCTTATATTTAAACCGTCTTAAGTTTATCTTCAGATAATGTATGGATTATTTCATTGGCTATGGAGTATCTGAAGATGAACTTAAGCCAGCTTAAATCAATCAATATGTTGTTTTTCCGTAAAAGCTAGAAGGTTATTACGGAAAGCAGCATATTGATTAGCTGTCGCGCGAACTTCCGCCGCGCGGCAAGCATTACTGCGTCCTGTGTGCAGGAGCCATTAAGTTATCTTTGACTATATAACCATAGACCGCTAGCGGCGATTCTAATGGCTTCTGCACACAGAACGCGGTAATGCTTGCCGCGCGGCGGAGTTCGTGCGACAGCCAATCAATATGCTGCTTTCCGCAATAACCTTCTAGGTCTTACGGAAAAATAACATATTGATTGGCTGTCGCGCGGATTTCCGCCGCGCGGCAAGCATTACCGCATCCTGTGTGCAAGAGCCAATAAGCGTCTGTTAACATCTGTAGCGCCGCCAGGACCAAACAACGACAAAAGAAGGAACTTCTACTTTCAATAGAACAAAACAGAGTTAGCAACGTAAATGCTTCTAATATCCGCATATCACATGGTGATACGTATTGGAAAGACCTAATAGCCCACACAGCACAGAAGTTTCAAAAAGAATTAGACTTTCTTGAAAACCACAAATACTTTATAACAAAATTAATTATAGAAAATTATGTTAAAATTGTTATGAATTATGAGGGAAAATCAATGAGCCAAAAATATCAATATATCAGATATAAATTGACAAAAATTACTTTATTTTAAGGACAATAATATACCGTCATTTAAGATAACTTTTATATCGCTGATATGAAAATTCTACCTCTATCCATTTAATGATGCCACATATTTTTGTAAGCCGTTGCAAATTGTTCAAAGTTACCCGGTGTTCCAAGTTACCTCAAATGACGGTATTTTAAATAATGTTTTAAAAAATGTTGAAAAAAATGTTCTTTTTAAAAAATGATCTTTTTATATAATATTATATATATATATTATATATATTTTATATAATATTATATAATATTATATAATATAATATATATAATATTATGTAATATTATATATTATTATATATATTTTATATAATATTATATAATATTATATATATTATATAAACATTCTTTATATATTTTTTTTATTCATATATTATATATCTCTTATTATATAAATATATTATATAAATATTATATATTCTTATGTAATATAATAAATACAAATTTGATATGAAATTATATAAATATCTTTAAATATCTTATTTTGTATTTTTATATTTTCCTTGCAAATCAGATTTTTTTTCTTGTTTAAAAATTGTTGATTTTTATATTATAGCAGTTATATAACTTTTTTTTAATGTAATAATTTATTTGAAGAAAAAATGAAAAAATCTGTTATTAACGAGTAAAGAAATATCATAATTTTTCATGTATTTTAATGATAACTGCAATTTATGATCACGGACACACATACAAAATATCTTTCACATGGTAAAATAGAAATCACAAGTATGTTTACGTAATAGCCGTTGTTTAGTCCTAGCGGCGCTGCAGATGTTGACAGACGTTTTGGTTAGGCGACAATTTCTCGAAAAGTGGAAGGGATAATGTTGGTACCAAGGAAAATCTCTACACAATATAATTTAAAGGCCTGTTCTTTGTAACTGCACTGCTGAACTGGTGCAATAAATTGAAGGGAAACAAGTTTCTTTTCACTCTAACCTTTTGCATTAGTTCAGCAGTGCAGCAAAAACAGATCGTTAAATTATATTGCGTAAAGATTTTCTTTAGTACCAACATTATCCCCTCCACTTTTCGGGAAATTGTCGCCTAACCAGAAACAAATCAAAACCTATAAATTCCTTCCTAGGGTGCGTTCAGATTCCCTACCCGGGTGCACTCTGTTACTAGAAACACTATAGTATATGTCACTATAGCACTTCTTGTATTAGAGTGCACCCGGGTGAGGAATCTGAACGCAGCTCTAATAGTCTTCCTTCATGTGTGGTAAAAGGGCCACTGAGTACAGGGATGCGTTCAGATTCCTCATCTGGGTGCACTCTATTACTAGAAACACTATAGTATATGTTACATATACTATAGCACTCTAGTAATAGAATACACCCGGGTGGGGAATCTGAACGCAGCCCAGGCCTGGAACCATAGAGAGAGAGAGAGAGAGAGAGAGTGATGCGCGACATACGATAAGCGACAAGCGATATTCAATAAGCGTACCGGTATTCCAGAAAAACTGTACGCTCATTGGATATCGCGCGTCGCATATCGCGTATCGCACCACAAATCGCGCTGACTGCGAGAGCCATAAAGCTGTGTCGACCGAAACGCCGGCGTGGCCGCTCTCAAGTTTTTCTCTAGCAGTATTCTTCTAAATACTGAGATGTCATAGGTAACAAGAAAGAATTTGTTTTATGATTATAATTCGAAGTATTTGCTTTGTTGAGGCGAATCCTCTTTAAAAGAAGAAAACAAGAAAAGGAAGAATCCTTTGTTGGAAAGCATGGAAGCGGAACCGTTAGAATTGGAAGATGGAGAAATAATCGACGACGAGGTCAGATATTGAAACATTTTCATTTGACAGAAATCTAACCTATTATAAATTTGCAATTTACACAATTGATTAGTTTCTTTTGTCGAATTAGTCTTTCAAGAAGTATTATATAGATTAATTTATTTACTTATGTTTCTACTGTAATTTATTTATTGATATAATCATATATTGTAACAAAGAACATTGGAATGGCATGATGCATCATACAGATTCAATATCAATTCAGATTCATACATATACAAGGAGCAATCTCCTTGATTTTCAATTTTTATAAAGCATCGAAATAAAATTGCGATAGGCATAATATCCCAAAATTTAACTTATTTAATTCATTAAAGTGTTAAATATAACTATTGAATAATTGGATGCTATAAAAATTATGCAAATAATACAAGCAGAAGAAGAGAGATCCTTATAAGTTATCTTAATAGTAATATATTCTTGATTACAGAATTCTAAATTTCCTAAGTATCTTCAAAAAGTCTGTTATATTGATTACGTTCAGCAGAAAAAGTGCTTTGCACTGTGTTGCTAGTAGTTTGCAACTGTTTGTAAGATTTTTGTTGAACAATATCTAATGGTTTATACTTTTCTAACATATTTACTAAGCGATCCAGCATATTGAAAGTATATGCTAAAAAATGGTGACTGCTGTTGGATATATTGAAAATATGTTGGAAAAATACAAATTACTAGTGTTGTTCAAAAGAAAATCTTACAACAGTTGCAAAGCTACTGCCAATGCAGCAGAAAGTGCTTACTAAGCTGCTTTCTCTGTTGAACATACTTACCATGTGTTAGATATTAAATATATAGCTTATTACTTGTTTTTAAAAATGATCTTCCATTATTTACTGATTGAATTATACTATTAAATGCAAATATTTACTCAATTATTTCTGCTAAAATTATCATTATGTGAATAAATCTTTTCCACTAATGATTATTTTATTTTTGTACTATACAGGCAGGTGATATCTTTGGGACATACAAAGTGTTACAAAGGCCTAATTTAGCACCAGTTACAGATGTAAGTACAAAGATGCGATGCAGTGACGAGTCTGACAATTCCACAGATTCAGAAAGTGACTCTGACTCTGATCCCACATCTATAAAAAGACCTAAAGTTAAAGTAAAAAAGTATAAATGCCTGCCAAAAGACTGGACAAACAAGAATGACAAATACAAAATATGGTGTACACAAGTGCAGGAAGAATCCTTAACTGAAGACTTGATATCGTGTGGTGTTACAAAAAAAATGTATCAAGAACGCAGTGTTGAGAATTATAATTTCACTCTGGGATATACACATAAGAACAGAGAGATTTGCAACAATAACAGTTCGGATGATGAAAAGGATACCGAACGAAGACTAACTAATAAAAGAACAAGTTCAGACAGATACAATGTAAAACTTAGATTAGGCAAAAGGAAAAGCCCTACTCGGAAAAGCCTCACAGACTTTGATGGTCAGAAGGGTTCGGTTAGAATTATACCAGATTTATCTACAACTGTGGAATCAACAGACGCTGATGTTGCCACTGATATAACAACAAAACTTTGTGAGAAACAAGAGCTCCTCATAAGTACGATTATTTTCTTTCTATAATTATTTTGTTTCTATATGTATTGCATTATTGTTTTTCTCTTAATATCATTCATTGTTTCTTTGTACTTATATGCATTTTAATGTTTAATGTAATTTGTTAACGTTTCTTGAAAAACATTTGAATTTTATTTCGAATAACTTCGATCTTCAATATTTATTTACAGGAAGAGTTGTGGATATCATTGGCAAAGAGAAAGCTATTCACTTCTTTCAAAAGACAAGGAAAATCGAAGAAGATGGTGGAATGTTAATAATGAATGGATCTCGTAGGAGGACCACCGGTGGAGTGTATTTCTGGTTGGTGAAAAACGACAAACATATTCCTCAAGAAAAAATAAGAGAGATATTTGATTATGGCCAAAAAGAAGGTAACGAGCAGAAGAAAAACAATGGAGCGAGGAAACAAAACGCACAGGATCGTATGAGGAGCTTTGAAAGTAATCACCTAATTGCAATATTTATAAGACAAATTACAAAATAATTAATTCCAAAATAAATAATAAAATAATTACAAAATAATTGTAAAAAAAGAAGATAATTTAAATATATCCCTTTGAAATTGCAGACGGATGCGATAAAGATTTACCAGCTTTATTAACAAGAGCTGAACTTTCGACGAGAGAAATTGCGGAACAAGCGAGATTACGACGCGGTGAAGGCATGGATAGAGTACCGATAGATTCCGATCGTACGGTATCAAATCCTCCACCCAGTCCTGTAACAGATGATCCAGATCATTCTGAACATCCTCTGATACAGAGGAATGTTCAAGATTATACCGACGACTTTCTCGACATTGGAGTAGATGTAGACAGCATGGAAGTACTTTAAGACTATATTATAGATCTTACATTTGCACATATTGCAACAGCAAATTGTACAAATAATTAAGTATAATCATACACATACGCGCGTGCGCGCGTACATACGACACACGAATTGCACGAATAATACGTATGTGTATAATTTACATAGATTGTACATTTACCATATTCATAAACGATAACAGTAGACTGATAGTAGTGATAAAAAAAAAAGTTGTTTGGTTCTCGTATGAACTTGTTTCAGTTACTCAACATATTTAGGTTGAAATAATTTAGTTTTTGCATACTTGTACTATTGTGAATCTGGTGTTTCTCTGAATTTAATAAACAAATACAATTGCCTCTGTGAGACAGAATCTTCATCTGTTAAACGACATATAATTTGTGGCGGAATTATAAAACATCTTTGAAAGATCAGAGTTACATTTATAGATCATAGGAATATATATGCATAAAGGTTTATATATAATTTATGCAATATGTAAATTTATAAACTTATGACGTGGTACATAAAACTACAGATGTAATTTTATTTCCGATTTTATCGTAAATTACTGATCTTTTAAATAGAAATTTGTTAATTTTTCTTTAATAAACAATAAACGTAAAGAATTTGTCATGACTATTTTACAAAAATGTTACGTTGTTAAAACGTGAATCAAACATCTATGTTAAATCATTTTTACAGGATTTTCAGTACAGTTACACATAATCTCTATGTATATAACATTGACTGTAATAAGCACAAATACGCGAAGATAAAATGTAATTTGTACGATGTATATTAAATCAATGTTGTATATAAAAATTTCCTGCTTATTATACCATGTTTCCAAGGCGGCTGTTGTGTATGTTTATCGATAACTGTCAGTTCGGTATGGTCGTTGCGCAGCTATTTCATAACATGATTATAGCTACGCAACACCATACATACGAATCAACAGTTGTCGGTAAACTTAAACAGAATATAGAATATAGATAAAATTTTTTGTTTTTTGTAAAAAAAGTTTTTATTTTGTTATCATACATTCAGTTTCTTTACTTCAGTTTTTTATGGAAGATAAATGATTACATTTCATATTAAAATAAAAATTGTTTCTTTATCTCTCTTTGTTAATTTTTTATTTTTTAAGACACCTAGAAAAAAGATATCCCCATTGTACCCCACTCTCCCCTACTCCTTTGTTCATTACATTCTAAAGATGACACGACTAATAAGAAAATGACAAAGAGCTCAAATAACAAAATAGCTTATATCTTAGAAGATATTAGGACCCATGTTAATTAGAACTTTTCTTCTTGTTTTGATCAATACTATCTGCTATAAAAATATGTGACCCTTTTTTTTCAACACCCTGTATATGGCATGTATGCAAATATGTTTATTACATAAGTAGAATACAGTTTTACAGGAAAATATATAGTTTTTATAGTTTTTTTTTTTTAATAACTGCGTGTTTATTATTTTATATAAAATGTTACAGAGAAAATTTTTAATTATTTTGACTTTGCGTTATAATAAAATCTTACGACTTCAATGGCGCAGAAATAATTGAAATAGATTAAATTTAACGTTATTTTAAAACACATTGTCATCACGAATTGATGACACAATGTGAGAACGAGCTAACAGTTTAGACTGAGTATTAATTCTATTAATTATAATGAAATTAATTAAAACTGAATAAACCGCAAGAACTTTTATTATTAATTATTATATACAATATAATGGAAGATGAAATTTTCTTCCGATGTATTATCCAAACCAATGATTAGCCATACATTCTCTAGTCCATTGCATTTGACATACCCAACACCAATGATATCCACATCCTGCTCTCATACACACCATGTGCATACAACCTCCTATAAGTAAATCATCTTTATAAATATTAAAATATTGCAATTTGAAAAGGAACAAAAACATTGTGAACCTCTTAAAACAATGTTTAAAACGTTCTAAACATTCCGTTACTACATATTTTTTAGTAATTTTGTTTGCGAAGACGGATAATTTATAAGGATCATCGATGCAAGCAAAAAATTAATTTTTATTAACGTACCGTCTCTTTCAGTAGGAGTTCTGCACATAGGACAAGGTTTTGTGGATATTTGTATTATCTTTTTACTGGCTTCATCCCATTTAGCCTAAAAAAAGAAATACCAAAGATAAATTGAGCTCCAAACAGAATTGTATCTGCACAAATAGGTCAATTTAGCTAACATCCTTAGCTTTCAGAGGATCCACTAAATAGTTTCTAGGTGAAGAGGCACTTGTGAATATATCCGATGACTGCAATTCGCATTTTCCTGTGTGATATCCTTGCAAACAAATTCTGCAGAAAACATACTGAAAAAGATAAGAACGACAGAGAAAATTAAGAGTTGATATAAATAAAGCGTATCCGCTGTCATAATTTGCGTGATCAATATTCAAGAGGATATCATAAAGAATTGCTTCTAATTATTGTTTGTTGACTATTCACCCCACATCCACCGATACATTGAATTCTCCGGCGCTGTTCATCATCTTTCTTCGCTTGTTCCTCGTCAGTGGGCGGTATAATACCCATACCACAGTCTGGCATTGGACACAAAAGGCCACCGGCACGTAAAACGTATTCCTCCGTACCAAATCTCTGATATGTCTCGTACTACACATTTAAACAAATTAGAATTGAAAAAACATTTCAAGTTAAAAAAAACCAAATGTTTTAATATTACAGACCAGTTCCGCGCTAAGAAGATGGAAATGATGAATTTCGGAAATAAAAGAATTGGGACATCCAGCGGGGCATGGCACAGTATAGTAGCCTTTGTCAGTATCGAATTCAAACTGTCGCTCTCGCAAACGAACCGTGCAATAATCGCAAAAGCAGTCGAGACAAGTTACATGACCAGCTTCGCACGGAAATATTAACACTATCTCCCTGTATATATGAGAGTATATAGTAATGTTGATATTTCTATCGAATTATGTTTGAATTAATTTTTTTAAACAATCTTTTTTAAAGTTAAGTATTAAATTTCAAGTTGATAGCCCATAAAATTAACTTAGTTAAATAAGAGTTACAAAAACTAATTTAATTAAAAGTTAATTAAATTAGTAAAATAAAATATATTTTAAAAAATTTAAAATGTTTTTTGCATGATTAACTGTTTAATTGTAAATTAAATTGTGAAATAATGAAAAGGAAATCTTTCATAAAAAATACCGACTATTGTGTTCAGAATTCCATATAAAAAAGAATACATGCGTTCAAAAAGATCAAACAAATTCTGTCGGAATTATTTTTTACTTTTCTCATTCTACTTATAAGTAATGCGGAATTACTTTAATATTGATGAATTATTTTGACTCTTATAAAAAAATTAATAAAGTTAATGTATTTTAAAATAATTCAGTTAAAAGTTAACTTATTTATAAAACGAACCAAGTTAAAACTATTAATTTTTTTATTTTCAATAGATTAACTAGTTATTATTTAATCCTGATTATATCGTCATTGCAAAGTACCTGATATCTGTACACGCTAAACAAGGAACATTCCTCAAATTTGCCCTAATAAGAGGAAGAGGTATAGCTTCGTCGTCCTCTCCTAAACTAGCATGTTTCGCGCATTTAAAATAGAAGTGAGCGTAAGTAATTTCAAATTCCTCTTCACTAAGCACGATTGAGGATGCAGGGCAGAAATCATTCTCGCAATGTACAGTTATCCTATTAGGTTCTAATACGTCCGACCAGCATTGAGGATCTCTGTCAACAGTGACAGCACCACTATTGCATTTTGCACACTTGACTCTCAGTTTGCCCACTGTTACAGTCTTGCAAGGCCCCGAACAGTATATATAAAAATGTGCTCGATTTTCTTCCTGTTCTGTCCGGGAATAACACAAAGGGATGGATCAGCCTTCTGTTTGTTGTATGAAATATTTGCTGAATTAATATTACTTAATATCACCTTCTTGAGATAAACATTGCTGATCCGACGAATCCAAGGATAAATCTGTGAGAGTCTCATTCATAGGTTTGCTACCACTATTGTTCCAGTCTGAAGTCTCAGATGTACATTCCTCTATAGAATCTGAAGTATCATGATTTTTAAACTTCTTAAGTGGGGTCTTTACTGCATGCAAAACACTTTGTTGACCCAAATCACATTCCTGTAACATCAAGTATTCTAATATTGTAACAGGTCTGGAACGAGTATACTTTCACACAAATATATAAACTTGCCTCAATTATTATTGAATTATGCAGCTCTTTGCCAGCAAATATAATTTTAATATCTTCCGGTGCCATTCCCATCTTAGGTGCAACAATTTCCTTCAAATTTTTTATATCCCACTTTGGATTCAATTCGACAGAGAGCGTGTTACCTGTATTCGTTTTGACATATATGTTCAAGTAATTCGATATCCTTCGTTGGCCAAAACGTAAATTTGTACCAAACCACAATAAGTGTAACATCCCGAGGAACGCGTCTTTCACTAAATTAAACCAAAAGCTCATGATGTGTTGCACTATATTTAATTATCACGTTATCTATTGGAAAAACAATGTTCGATCAGTCTTGCGAGAATAGTTTTGCAAAATGCTGGTAAACTATAATAATAGTTGTGTTCAGAAAATACAATGGTTGAGTGAACATTCATTGTCATTGGAATATTCTTCTAGATTTAAAAACATACCTCAATTAGAAGCAATAACATTAGTTTATAAAAAGGAAACTTCTTTTTCTCACATAGATTAAATTATGGGATCTGTATTTTTTTATGCTGAATTAAAAATTAAGATAATTTTTATTACCCAGTTAATTAATTTAAGATTTTTTTTATTACCCAGTGTTTCTCAATAATGGGATTACTAAATTTCACAAGAAAATTGAACTTCTTGATATATACATATATGATTTACTTAATTCAAAATACAGAAGCTAATGTGATCTTCTATTGCATTTGGCTAGTAGTACCTCTTTTAAAAGTAAAAGATGTATCAGTTTTTATCATATCTTATAGTTAATTGGAGAAAAATCATATAAAAAGAGAAAAATTATTAAAAATTTAATAGACTTTTATAAAAATGTATTGTTTAAATAGGAGAACTTTTTATAGAAGATAATATTGTACTTATATAGATAGTACTTTAATATAAAAAATTTGAGTTACATAATATTTAATTACATGGAATATCCTATGTAAAATATAATAAATAATCTCAAGTGATTGTTACAAAAAAATATGGATAATGGAGAAATTCTAAGTTTTATTCCAGATTATATAAATAAAAATATACAACATATTAGAAATTAAATGACATCTTTTAACCAATATAATCATGCAATCATTCAATTGTTGTGCTTTCTGAACACATTCAATACTAAGCTGCAGATAGTATATGTTTACAGATTATCCTAGGTATACTTAGGACATCCTAAGATATTCTCTAGGATATTCTGGGCATGTCTAAGATGATCCTAAGAAGTCATGTGCTTTCTGAAGCTATATAAGTGCTTGACTGTTCGATTATTTTTGTACTGAGAATATGTATATTGCTATAGGAAAATAACATTTATATAATTTATATATATTCTTTTAATATACTTGCCTTTTTTTCAAATATTCTATTTAATCTTTCATAGGAATTTTTGAGAATTATCACATCCAATATCTCATTTCACTCAATCAAATATTATTAACTGGACTCTATTTATTTATATGAATTTATTAATTTTTTAATTGCTTTGTTTATTGAAATTTCCAGTGACATGAGCCACAGAGAAAAAATAAATTTTTATACTCTTAAATACATACATTTGCATAAGGAATATCAAATACAATACGGATAACGTAAATCTTTCACATTAATATAATCTCCACATTAGATCTATTCGTTTTACTTATACTTTTTACATTTGAAGTAAAATAAATATTAGAGATAATGTGAAAAAAATCAACAACAAGTGCAAGTAACGACAGATGCACGCAATAAATGAAAATTAGTTCCTTGAAGTATCACTAGATGGAGAATCTGGCTGCGTTCAGCAGGACACAACAGCTGCGTTCAGAAAACACAGCTGATCAGTGAGTGATCAGTGATTATTGGTCCTTACTGTTAGATCCCTAACTTTAGACCAATTACGTTGACTAATTATTCAACCGTTGTATAACTGTTGTGTCTCCTGAACGCAACGGTTGCACTGTTTTATGATTTACTGCTGAACGTGGCTGAACGGTACTTAACGCATTCAGCGGCGCAACATGTTTACTCAGCGGTCACCATGTTTTTCAGCGAACTGAAAGTGCGCTGAATCCAAGCACAACGTGTTGAGCAAAATGGATGCCTCTAGTTTTATTGGTCACGTTCAGCGGAGAAAATTGCTCCGCTATCGCTCTGTAGTGAATGTACATGATTGGAATATTCTTTTAAACCTTTGACAGGTTCGAACAGGTACCAATTAGACTTGTTCCCTACGGAGCAGTAGCGGAGCAGTTTTCTCCGCAGAACCTGACCGTTGAAATATAT